GCACACTCACCGGACCTGGGCTAGGACTGGGTCTGGGGGCTCCTGGAACTCGGCAGAGAATCCTACTCGGCGGGCGAGGTGGGGGAGCCACTGCGAAGTGGTGGGAGGCGGCCCAAGGTGCTGGGAGAGGGTCCGGCCCACTCTGCGCCTGGGCTGGGACTGGTCCCGCTGGCGCAGGGTAGCAGGAAGCTCTCTGCACACTCACCGGACCTGGGCTAGGACTGGGTCTCCTTCACCTGATGTTCATGTGACCTCTTCTTGTGCCTGTGTTGAGAAAGGGAAAGCTGCCTCTTATAAGGTCAGTAACCAAATAGCCCCCATTATGGCCTCCCTTAACTGTAATCACATCTCAAGACCCCGTTTCCAACATGGTCATGAAGGAGGTAGGGCTCAACATACGCGTTTGGGGGAAACACAATTCAGTCTGGGGCATAGAGCATGCTTTCTCCTCCTTAAATATAATTAAATTAGATGGCATGGGCCTAAAACTACAGTGCATGTGACCCTGAGTTCAAGACTTCTTGAGTCTTTGCCTCTGCCATCATTTACTGAACTATGAAGTACCAGCTCCACAGCAGGTAAGAATATAGGCATGGAGAACTCAACAATGACCAAGAAAAGCCACACCCTTGTCCTTGTGGAGTTTATAGTCTAATAGAGGAACAAAGTGAATAAAAATATAATGTCATTTCAGCTAGTGATAAGAATTTTGGAAAAATAAAAATAAAACAGGGTAGGGCCAGGAGACAGCTCAGTGGACTAAGCGCCTGCTTGGGCAAGCGCATGGAACTGGGCCTCATTCCCTGCACCATGTGCTGCACCAGCTCTGCCTTCAGGTACCCTGACCCGGCCACCGAGATCAGCCATGGTGGCACACATCTGTAATCTCAGCACTGGGGCGGCCAAAAGCAGGAGGATCACTATGAAGTCCAAGCTGTATAATGAGACCCTGTACCAAATATGTTATTATTATTATTATTTTTATTTTTTATTTTTTTATTTTTTTTTAGGGAAGAGTCTACAAGGTGTTCAGATTCGTAGTGATCCGCCTGTGTATAGCCTCCCAAGAGCTGGGATTACAAGTGCGCACCACCACACCCGGTCTCAATTGCTGTCTCAGCGCACCTCAGGGGCGGGGTCAGCATAGCAGGCCTGGGGATCGATCCCCCAGATGTTTTAATCCACTGAGCTATTTGGCTGGGCCTTTTTTCTTTTCTTTTTTTTTTAATGTTATCTACAGAGAGCTGTTTATATGTGAGTAGTAGAAGAGTGACAGAGTCAGCCTTCCAGAAGGTTAAACTTGGCTCTGTCCCCTATTCACAGCCCCAAATTCCATCTGGTGGCACTGACCATAGCAGATCACTCCCAAGTGTAGTGCAACAACTCTAAGATTAGCCACTTAGATCAACCATGCTGAAATGATGGATGTAAAAAGAGGACAAAGTTACTCCAGGTCTCATGCTCAGAACAATCATCACTCTAGGCTGGTGGGGCACTGGGCCCAAGAGTTCTCCCAGACCCCAATGACACAAGATGTTCAGATCCTTTCTACAGATGCTGTCATATTTGCATAGTGTCTGCACAGTTCTCCTGTATCGTTTGTCATCTCTAATTACTTACAAAACCTAATTCAATGTAAATGTCCTATAAATAGTCATCATGCTGTATCATTTAGGAAATAATAAGAAAAATCTGTGTATATTCAGTACAGACACAATTTTTAAAGCTGTTTTGGTTAAGATCACATGAGCAGAACCACCAAATGCAGAAGCCAAGTCTCTGCTGTATACTTGGGATTCAATCCATCTGCTCATTTCTTCTGCTCATCTCCACTTGTGGCAATTGATAGTTTGCCTCCAGTTTACTATCTTTAAGAGGAGGAACTCAGACTCATGAACAACTGTTTATTCAGACCATTCTTAAAAGTAGAATCCTTGGAGCATTCCTACCTGACTCCTTCTTACTTGATGTTTGCAGTTAGATCTCACAAAGCAGCAGAATGGATTCAAAATCACACTCAAAACATTGGAGGACAACCTGCTCTCTCGCCTCTCCTCAGCATCTGGCAACTTCCTGGGAGAAACAGCCTTGGTAGAGAACCTAGAGACCACCAAGCAGACAGCTGCAGAAGTGGAGAAAAAGGTAATGTTATTCTGGCCAGCCTGGGAAGGTAGCAAGGTGTCTTCTCCTGGAGTTTTCTCTGTTGTTCGTGCCTGAGCCTGACTTTTAGATACTATTTTTGGCTTCCCAAGTGCCTTCTAGGAAGTCCATCTAGGCAAGATCTGTGTTACAGAACTGTCACTTTCTGCAGAGTGCTTTGGACATCTTGACTCCACAAAGGTCTGATAAGCCCTTAAATTGGCAGAGCCAGGCTTTCTTTACAGGAAATGGTAGGGTAGCTCCAACTGAGTACCTCAAGTAGTGAGTGGAATTGCCCTTAAGCTAAAGCATCACATTGCTATAAAAACTAGTTGAATAATGCAAGCTTCCACCATAGGAAAACCTACTGGACTTCCAAACTTTTACAAGTCTGATTACAAGGAAAATCTCAATGACCTTCTCAGGAAACTCAACTCTCAAAAGCTGGGAAGCAATCACAGTAGTACATAACCCTTACTTTATTTCACAGTATTGGACAGTTTTTATTCACCTCATGGTTAAAGGAAGAAACTGATTCCTTCATTTTTCCCAGCAGACTGGGAACACTGTCCAAACCCACGAAGGCCTTTTAGCATTCTCTTGGAGCAGAAGACCAGTTATGATACTGATTCGAGGATTTCACATGTCTATAACTGTTATCTGGAAGCAAGATACATTCAGATGAATATTGCCAACTTATTGGTATTTCTCCAAACATGAAGGAGTTTTCTGGGGAGAAGCAAAGAGGAAAAACTGAAGAGGAGTGATAGGCAAGGCAGATAAACCAGTCATCCCACTCTTGGGTAACAAACAGCTCATCGTACAGGTTGAAGTGGTAGTTCTGGCAAGAGGACAGGAGCAGCCATCTTGTTTTCATCTCCCTGAATCCTCACTTTTGTTTTCTTTATCCTATTTTGAAAATCACTGACGTTTCTTGAGTACCTGCTATCTGCCAACTATAACATAGAAATTTTTGCTGTTATTATTGTTGCTTCTTTTTCTTTCTTTTTTCTCTTTTCCTTCCATACACAACAAAAGTTGGGGGTACAGGGAGGATCATTCAAGAAATGTTAAAGGAAAGGAGTATTTGAATAGAAGTTTTGAATTCATAGTAATGATTAATACAGATAGTGCTTACTATCATGGGGTACATAAGAAAACTAAGGAGGGTGTAATGGAGGTCATAGATGAAGTGCTTATCTTTAGAAAAATGGAGGTCAATTTTCAATGGAATAAGGGATAAGGGACAAATACGAGTCTGTTAATGACCGAAGGGTCCATGTCTATAACTAGTGTAGAGAGATATATAATTAAGGGAATGAAATAGAGGCAAAAATTAAGATAATTCCTTCCTAATGGTCTCTAGCAACTGATATGCACAGTTTAACTCCAGGAATATGTTTTAAGGACTGTATCACTTAACAACATTGTATAGTATGTCTGCATAACCTAAAACAGCTGTGGCATCACTATACGATATGATGAAATCACCATCATCTATGTGGTCTATAACTGACCCAAAATATCACTGTGTGGCACATGACTGTGATTTGGTAGCATTAGTGGAGCTGGCCTCCTGAGAGTGAAGTAGTAGTGTCAAGGTAGCAGGTCTGCGGGTGAAACTTAAAATAGTTGTTACACCTGTAATTTCAAGTACTTCAGAGGCTGAGACAAGAGAATTTTAAATTCAAACCCATCCTGCAACTCAGTAAGACTTCTCCAAAAAAAAAAAAAAAAAACAAGTTAAAGGGCTGGTGGTGTAGCTCAGTAGGAGAGCACTTGGCTATAACCTGTGTAAGGCGCTAGCTTCAATCTTCAGTACAAAAAAAAAAAAAAAAAAAAGTTTACCAGAGAGCTAGATCTTTTGCCAATAGGAAGGGAATCAAAAGGTTGAAGGGTGGGGAAGAGAAAGGAGGAGAAAGTGATGGAAAATGAATTAAGATGCATTATGTGCTGGTACCAACTCCCTGTGATGAATATAGTTATTATGTATGACAAATGTACTAGTAAAAATATTTTAGATGTGTAAAAAAATGAAAAACGTTATTAGAGATTATCAGCATTAATGACTCTGGTGAAGTTAAAGGCTATGGTTCTGTAGAAACATTAATCTCACGAATTATGTGATTTCTTTTTACCTTCTTCTGAGAGCTTTTATCTCTTAACTACCGAATTTATTAATAATTTTGATGTTCAGTAGTTTAACCTCTGTTACCTTGCATTTCTTACTGGTTTTGCATTTTTATCTCCCCAAACATTTGTCAGTTCAGTGTGTTGCAACCCTCTGTGTGCATCTACCTATTTCGAAACCTATCATAGATTGCTGAGGATTGTGATTACCTCATTAAGCTGCAGAACAGAAACTTCCTCCACACTAGCAGTGTTTTGCTACTTTTCATCTTCCCTTCCTGCTTCCCCTTCCCACTTTCTAATGACCACTACTTCAAATCAGTTTGTTTAACTTCAAAATGAATGAAGACATGAGGCATTTTTCTTACCGTGCTTGGTTTATTTCACTTAACACGACATGCTCCAATTCTATCCACTGTGACACTAATTACAGGACCTTATCCTTTCTTTTGGCTGAATAATGTTTCATTATGTATACAAACCGCATTTCCTTAGCCATAAATCTGTTTATGGCTAACACCCTGGTTGACTACATATTTTGGCTATTTTGAATACAACTGCAATAAACATGGCAGTTGTGAGTCTCTCCTGGACTTATTCACTTCATTTCCTTTGGATATATACCAAGTACTGGGATAGCTGATCATAGAGTAATTCTGCGTGTAGTTTTCTGAGGGCTGCCCTTAATCATCCTGCACAGTGGTTTACTCCTTCCCCACCTTCTCCGCAGAATTTGAATGGTTTCTTTTTCATCATAACCATTCTAACTGGGATATGTTCTTTATCCTTTATTGATTTTCTTTATCCCTCTTCTTTGATTCCTTCACGCTCTTAAAGTTATTCATTTTATTTTACTACCTGTATTATATGTATCTTCAATATATTTTAACCAAAGCTAAAATTACATAATATATGTCTTTCTAGTAATGGAAGGACTTCAGAGGACTTTAATTCTGATCATTCTTTCACATCTTTCGCTACTGTTTCAACATCTATTAGCTTGCTGCTGTCAAGAACCCCTTTTAATCTAACTGCTATTCCTTTTTAGATACTTCATCTCTCCTGGTTTAATATTTTCTCCTCATCTTTGATGCTGTGAAATTTCATTATGTAGTGAGGATATATTTTATGTATCATACTCAAGAGTGACATGCATCTTCGGGGGAAGGGCCCCGACCATTCATCAACTCTGGACAACTCTTTACTGACATCACTTCAAATGTTGCCTCCCCTAATTCTCTCCATTGGCAGAGCATATTGAGATTGTCTTCAGTGGCATATGCTTATAGAAATCCCTCTTCCTGATCGATAGATCTCTTTTTCTACTTTTATTTATGATAACGTATTTTCTAAAAATAAAATATTCCATTGAAAGAAATTTCTTGTGAATTTATACAGAAACCTATTTCATAAAAGCTTTTAAAATGAAATTATATTGCTTCATTCCCTGGACTGCTTGTTATTCTACTTTGTTATAGATAGACAGATAGATGATTGATAGATCATAGACAGATAGATAGATAGATAGATAGATAGATAGATAGATAGATAGATAGGACAGATTTACGCTTCCAGGAAATTATCTCATTAAAGATGAAGCTCAGAGACCTGCATGATCCACACTTCCCCACTACCAGAGCTGACCTGCATGATCCACACTTCCCCACTACAAGAGCTGACACTCTCATTCTTGTGAAATACTGGGATGTATCTTTCACTCATTCTTTTTCATTCATTCTCTGTTAAGGAACAAATAGTACAGTGGCTTTTCAACCCTGGACCTACTATCAACATCCTACTTCACTCCACCCCATCCTCACTCACATTTACTCGTACAGAACAGCCAAATTGATTCCGTGGAAGCTCTGGTTGGGTTGAACAATCAGCTATTTTTTCTTTCCAACAGGTCCAGGAGGCCAAGGTGACTGAGGTAAAAATCAATGAGGCTCGAGAATACTACCGGCCAGCAGCTGCCCGGGCCTCTCTCCTCTACTTCATCATGAATGACCTCAGCAAAATTCACCCCATGTACCAGTTCTCTCTTAAGGTGACTGACACCTGGAGTTTTTTGCATAATTATGGTACAGCAGTACAATATTGCCAAGGCAATACTCTATGAGTGCTTATCTATGTATTTTATTAACTATGGCAGGTCTTAGAGATCAAAGCCAGAGAGCAGATACATTTGGCTTCAGAAAAATATTACAGTCCTTATCTCTTTAATTGGGTCTTATGTAACCCCAGGGACAGAGAGGGGTGCCACAACAAGCCCAAGCACGTTCAATGTGATAGGTATCATGCATCCTAGAGATAAAGAAAAAGATACTAAAAAAATAGAAGCAGTGATCCCTATCCCCAAAGAGCTTAAAATATGATAATTTTATATGCATATCAATTGTATTGATGAAAGACCAACTCAAGCAAGCATAATAGGCCAACTTTAAATTACTTTCCTTATTACCCTAATATCCCCAAAGCTACTGCTCTGTGGTTATTGAAATATTCCTTGAAGCCAAGTTGTTAGCAGATTGTAAGTGCTGACTCAACTTATCTTACTTCTGAAAAAATAAAGACCTATACATTTTAAGTGAATCTCTGAAAGCACATCTTTGCTCCCCAGTGCATTTAACAAAATACCACAATTACAGAGGTGTGAACACATGGGGTAGCATTTTAGAGCAACTTCATAGGTTTGACCCAACACAGAGAGAAGATGTGAACATGTATAAGGAGATAGGAGAAAGAGAAGAAAAATGCACAAAACAGAAATGAGAGAGAGAGAGAGAGAGAGAGAGAGAGAGAGAGAGAGAGAGAGATTGAGAACACACCACAGTTTTGTGCAGTGTTTCCAGCTGAATCACCTCATGGAGGGTGAGGCATGGGGATAGTGATAAGCAATGGAGAACTACGTCACTACAGTTCATGTCACTGAAGCTGTTAATTCCCCATTTCCCAGTCCTTTCCCTTAACTCAGAGTCTCTGTGGTTTGGTTGTTGACTGTGTTTGAAATGCAGTATTTTATGTTTTTATTTTTAAAATGCAATATTTGGCCATATTCAGAGTATGGCTACATATGAAAAACTATAAGCTGATATATATTGATTATAAAAATACTGCATAAAAGTTAACCTTCCATTCACAACTATGGGAAGACCTCCTTAGTTCCAAGAGTAGTTAGAAATGACTGCAAGTGTGTACCAGAAGCCTACTACCATGACTCTACCAAAAACAAGAAATCTGATGAAAACACAGGAACAAAAATATGCTGTAAGTTCTTTTGCACCAGAAGCTTCCTGATGGGAGAAAACACTGGCAAACATTTGATGGGTGGGCTGGAAAAGTGTAACATTCTTCACAGGTAAGACTACTCATACACACAAAGTGTATATGCCCACGTGCCACCTCTGTCCTCAGGCCTTCAGCATCGTCTTCCAGAAGGCTGTGGAGAGGGCTGCTCCTGATGAGAGCCTCAGGGAGCGGGTGACCAATCTAATAGACAGCATAACCTTCTCTGTGTACCAGTATACCACCCGCGGGCTCTTCGAGTGTGATAAGCTGACCTACCTAGCTCAACTCACCTTTCAGGTAAAAGTGAATTTTAAAAGTTTCCCAAAGACCGTTCATTTTTACAGTAAGTGTCAAGATTATTGTTTGTAAAGAGAAGAGACTTTGTAATTAAATCAAAGCATACATCAGATTCTAAGTGACCATCATACATTACTTTTAACATTTGAAAGAGTAAAATAGATTCAGTCCTGCAAAGATGCTCAAAAACCAGAGTGCCAGTGCAGTGACTGTAAGTTTTATTTCATCATGTAATCAATCAGTCTTTCTGAATGAGTGACATGCTTCAGTTTTACACTGTTTGTATTTTGTTTTGCACAGATATTTCATTAATTATTACTCCAGTTTAAGGGGTCACTGTTCTGAATGTAGTTTTCAGTCTGGACCAGTTTGTCATGGCAATAAATAATTAAGTATTTACAAAGAAAAAAGACTTCATTTTTAATATCCAATCAGCAAGCATTAAAATAAAAGTCCTCTTTTAACATCACTGCCCGAAGTCCAGCCTATGTGTGGGTAGAGGCGTCAGGCAGAAGGTCCAGGTGTGGTGCATCCACGCTAATCCACCACCCGCCCACTCACGAGGGACACTCTGCATCAGCCATTGAGTTTTTGCTTGCTAATTCTGGGCGGTATAAGGCCCTTCTCAGCTATTCCTCCAGCAGCTCCTACAAGGCAATCAGTACTAGTACTGAAGATGATTCGAGATGGTCACACCAACCATGAGAATCTTTGCTGATACAGTAAGAACTTTAGCTCTGTCCACATTTATCCACTTTTAAAGCAGATTTATTGACCCAACCTTACCAGGGATAAGAAATCACAAAGAACTTTCTATTTAGGTGGAATAGCTATCACTTCTAAGGAAAGTTTTTGACAGCTATGGTTCTCAAAACTAGTCAATATCAGGCATCTTTGAGGTCTCCCACTTAATTTCAATATCAAAAACTTTGCTTCTTTGTATTATCCCCTGATCATTTAGAAAGGGGATTTTTCAATAATATGTTGCTATGTCAAACCAGATTATTTCAAAGGCTCCCTCCAATTCTAAAATCAGACATTCTATCATTATTTTGTGCTGACTCTGCATTTCCAAAGCCCGAGTTCATGGGTAAGCTTTAAGAGGCCTATCCCCCTCACCCTCTGTATTCCCAGCTCCAGGCCAGAAAATAGCTTGGCCTGCTCAAAACACTTGGGCCCTTACCTCCCATTGAATCCTATCTCTAATCAAGCCAAAGGCTTTTCTTTCCTTGTACACACCTTTTTAATTCCCCTTCCAAGCCTCTGTGCTTTCCTTCTCTCCCTCCCTGGGAAGTCCTCCCTCCATCTGAAAATTCCCATCTGCAGCTTCTCCATGACCCAATTCAAAAGTATTTATAAAAAGTTTAGTCAGGGCCAGGGAGATAGTTCAGTGGTCTAAGCACCTGCCTGGCAAATTCAAGGACCCAGGTTTAATCCCCAGTACCACATGCTATGCTAGCCATGCTCTGAGTCAACCATGCAAAAGGGTGTGGTGGCACATGCCTATAATCCCCGTCCTAGGGAGGCGGAGATAGGAGGATCACTACAAGTCGAGCTGTGCAGTGAGGCCCTGTACTGAATAAGTAAATTTTAAAAATTAAAAAAAAAAATTTAATCAAATTAATCCCTTTTCACTGGCTTGCTGGTCACTCACATTATTGATAAAAATCATTATTATTATTATTATGAAAGAGATTCTCTTCCACATTACTTATTCATACATGCATTTCTATTTTGCATATATTCTTATGTTACTTTGACACTTGCCTCAAATGCTGTCATTTTTATGTGTCATCTGCTCAGTTGAATTGCAGGCGCATATTTAATGGCATTTATGATGGATAAATAATAAATTCTTGCTAAGCAAGATATATAGTCATCCATTGTGGGCGTTTAAATCACTCTGCTATTTGGGGTGAACAGATCCATACAGAAATATTTTGCATAAATATACACATTCTTCATCTCATCCTCTTTAAACAACCATAATTGATGGATAAGCTCTAGTGCTGAAGCCAGCAATAATTACTGAGTGACAATACCTGAATGACAATATCTTGAGCCCTTTGCTCTACACAAATGAAAGAAACTATTGTTTCCCCACATTACAGATTCTCCTTATGAACCAGGAAGTCAATACAGCAGAGTTGGATTTCTTGCTTCGATCTCCAGTGCAGACCAGCTCACTAAGCCCCGTGGAGTTTCTCTCCCATCAGGCCTGGGGAGGCATCAAGGTCAGTACTGGGCCCTAGAGAAAGGTAAAGCTCTCATCCCTTAGAGTTTTTCCCTGACACTCGTCCCACAGCATCTGAGGGGCTCTTTTGTGGACCTCAAGCGCAGATCTGTGTTGCACATAGACATGCCCTTTTCCCTGCACCTCACGGCAAGCTCACCCTTCCTCCAGCTGTGGAGAGGAAGCAGATGCACTCTGCTGCACGAGGGCTCTTCCTCCAGCCTGCAAGGGACAGAAAGTCCCTGGGAGCTTTTCTTAATTATCTGCGCTCCTCTTTCCCGCAAGGGCTTAGGGCAAGAATACAGGCTCTTTGGTGATCCTTGGGGCTGCTATGGAGATGCTGTCAGAACTTTCCAGAAAAGGAACAGGTCACGGGCTATGTTCAGGAATCTCCGTGTGAATCCAAACTCAGACACCTGGCCAAGGTCTGTGCCCCAGCCTGGGAGGGATGCTTGTGTACTGACTGCCTCAGAATGCGCTGTCTTATTTCATGTTCATCTGGACAGTGCTATTAGTTCATTCTAATGTCCATCTAGGCCATAGGTATTATTTGTTCCCATTGAACATATGAGGAAACTGAGGCCACACTACTTATGAGGATCGAATTCAGGCCACATGTTTGCTGTATGTTGGATATAAAAGCCCATTTTTCAGTCCATGTTGTGTGGCATAGGTGGTTGGGATTCTGTTAGTGTTGAAAAGATCGTAGACTAGAGGATCCCTTCAATAGGGCCTGTGCCTACATGCTGGGAGCCTAACATGAAGCCTGGAAATAAGGACTCAGTGAATCCCAGCTCCAGAGATTCCAGGAACACACTGTAGAGGACAACACTCTAGCCCACACCTAAATGGCCCCTTGTACTAGCACCTGCGCAGTACAAGTCCTATTTATGATTTTCTGTGTTTGTTGCATTTAACAGATGCTTAATAGCACAAAGAAAAAAAATATATGTACATATAGATATATTTGACTGACTTTCTCTTCCTATTTTTTATTCTTTTTAAATTCTAAGATTCTGTGTTCACAAGCAATTGTAAGAAATAATAGAGAGATATCACTATTTTCCATTTTCCTACAATGCTAATGTCTTACAATACTGTATTACACGGGGGCCTGGCCCTAGCTCAGGCCTTTAAGTGGCCGCTTCCACAAAGCTGTCAGCCTCAGGTTGCTGGAGTTCAAACCTCACACCTCTCCCGCTGGCCAAAAGTGCCCTGAAGGCATTCGAGGAACAAATAAAAAAAAAAAAATACTGTATTACATTAACATGTCCAGGAAATCTACATTGCTATGATCCACCAATTTTATTCTGATTTTACCAGTCTTACATGCATGTGTGTAAGCATCTTTGTTTCATTTTATCAGATGGATAAATCTGTGTAATCACTACCACAGCCAAAATTCAGAAAGTTCTAGCATTATAAGGATTTCTGATGCTGCGCTTTTATACTCACATTGTCCTTTTCAATTCCTAATACCACCCAACTACTGATCTCTTCTCCGTGACATAATATTTTCATCTCAAGGATATTATTTGAATGAAAATATGCAGTATAAAGCCTTTTAGAATTGGCCTGTTAAGTTAATGTAACTCCCTTGAGATTAATTCAAGTTGATTTACTTTATAACAAAAATCCAAAACTTAATCATTTGCATGCATGTTGTTACCCTTAGAAGAAATCATCTTAGGGAATTCTATGTTAATTCCACTAATGCTACCATTACTCAAAGCTTCTTTTTCAGAATCTGTAGATGTTCTTTTAATCAACTTTAGGACTGTATCTAAGTCAGAGGTCATCAATTTTTTTTTTCTAATGGATCACATAGTTAATAGCATTGTGAAGCCATCCTAAAGCCATATACATCAATGCATATGGCTGAATTCCCATCAACTTTTATTTATGAAAGTAAGTGATAGTTCAGGTTGGGCCTGTAAGTTGTAGTTTACTTATCTCTAATTTAAATAATAAAAGAAATAAACTTTAATTTTTATTTAGCTTCTTTCATCAGTCTGGCCCAATCTGGTGAGTGAGAAGGGAAATAATATATTAGGAAAGAATCAAGAAAGGATCTCAATCACAGCAGCAGCTGAAATCACACTTTTACAAGCTATCTAATAATTGTTATAAGAGATACAGAGATCTGGAATACCATCAGGTTTCCTAGACATCATATAATATGGATCAATAGACACATTCTAGTGCAGGCCTGCCCAAGAGAAATGCAATGAAAGCCACATGTGTTAGTAGCCACAGTAAAAGTGTAAAAAGAAATGGATAGTGTTAGTCTTGATAAGATGAATAAGAAATTTCCTAACCTTAACACAGAAAAAAAAATTTCATTTCAATATACAAGTGTTATAAAATTATTGTTATGTGACAAAATAACTGAAAGAAACAATGTAAGCAGGAA